CATCAGGCGGGGCGCCGGATGCCGGCGGAGGATCCGCCGGAGTCTGCATGGGGAAGGAAAGAACGTAAAAGGTGGATCGCTCCCAGACTTATATAATTAATTTAATTTTAAAAAAAAGAAATTTAAAATATTAATTGATGTGGCATCCTACATGGCAGGTGACTTGAAAGTAACATAATATTATAAGTCAAATATGTTAATTGGGGCTAATTGCACTTTAGATAATAGTTGGAGGGTCTATATGACACTTATCCCTTATTTTTTTCTTTTTTTATACTTTAAAGGATTTTTTTTTTGAGGACTACTGACTCTGTTACAATGTAGTATATGTTCATAACTACTTTCTCAACCTACTGAAGTACAAAGAGTCAATACCGTCCTCTTACCATCGTCCCCATTGGAAATCAAACCCATGACCTCCCATTTGGAAGAGTCACTTCCTGCCACTAGATCACAAGGTTATTGGGCACGCCACCACTACTTTCTCAAAAACAAAAGTATATTTTTTTTGGGTATAGCTCAGGGTTTCCACCGTCAGCTAGCCTGGAGATTTTAAAGTTGCTTCCACCGTCTCCAGTTTCCACCATCAACTGGCCTGGAGAGATTAAACTCTTAGGTCGTTTGGTTCACGGAATGTCAGATTACCTTAGGGAATGTTAGATTACTGGGAATGTTAAATTCATGTGTTTGGTTAAAATTAGGATATGTAATATAATCATGTTTGGTTTAGGGTTATCTTTTTTTTTGAATATAGAAAGAGGGTGTAAACCCGGACTAGCTAGCTGAACGAGCTCATGGGTGTGCTGCGCGATCCACCCGAGCACCAACCTTGTCTTCCCACAATAACACATCCACACACTGCGGTTGGCTCCGTAGATCCCGTGACCCTAGTGCATGATCCAAGGCGGCCAAAGCAAGCTTATCGGCTACTCTGTTTGTTTCCCGCACAACATGCTTGAAGGTCACCTCTTGGAACATAGTGGCCTCCCTCACGCAAGTCTGGACAATATTGCTTCCTTTACCATTCTTAAGACACGTGTTTATGCACTTAATGTGAACCAAACATAGGAATGTAAGCTTTGGAATGTCACATTCACTTGGTTATGTTAGAGTAGTTATGTTGTGCATCCGTATGCACCATGCATGGTGCATACGGATGCAAAAACAACATCGTTTTATTAAAAACGCGCGTCTCCCCTTAAAAAAAATTCAGGTTCGATTCCCAGCAACAGCATTATGTTGTTCATTCATTCTGAAATTTTAGTTCATAGATTATGGAATTTTAGTTCATTGATTCTGGAATTATAGTTCATCGATTCTGGAATTGTAGTTCATCGATTCTAAAATTTTAGTTTATAGATTCTGGAATTTTAGTTCATTCATTTTGAAATTTTTAGTTCATAGATTAGATTCTGGAATTATAGTTCATTGATTATGGAATTATAGTTCATCGATTATGGAATTATAGTTCATCAATTCTGGAATTTTAGTTCATATGTTGCTGCTGGGAATCGAACCTGAATTTTTTTTTAAGGGGAGATGCGCGTTTTTAATAAAACGACATCGTTTGTATGCATCATGCATGGTGTATACAGATGCACAGCATAACTTATATAACCTGAACTAAACGCCCCCTTAACCTTTAATTAAGGAAGAATAATTTCCTACCACTCAACCACACCTCCAAGTTAAAAGGGTATACCAATTATCAATCAAATGTTCGGTCGTCTAATGGGAGGTAATATTCCTGACATATGATAAAAAGTTATATATTGTTCAACAAAAGCTGAATCAAAATATATAGTCCACATATTTGTGAGTGGTTGGTTGATTTGTGCTTGGTACAGTATTCGATGGTGTAATTCGTTTACTAAAAATTTTAAGAGAAAAAAGTATTTTAAGTTCATCAATTTAGCATCATTGGTCATAAGTTTACGAATATATTTTCAAATTTGTACTACTGTGACAGTTTTAGTCTAGAGGCTTCCGTATGTATTTTAATTTAGTATTTTTAATTATTTACTTTTATTTTCATCCTAACTCCATTTTTATTTTTGAAAAAAAATTAGTCGAATAAGTCCTTAATATAAAATTAATATTATAATTGAACCCTTGAACTAAAAAAGAGTTCAAATTAAATTAGACCCTTAAAGTTATATTAAAAACAAAAAACAAAAAAAAAAAAAGTGTTCAACAAGTTACCATCAAACAATATGTTGACTAGCAGCAATTATACTGTGGATTACAGTCCACAAAGTTTTGTGGGTCATGGTCTCAAAACGACATCGTTGCTTTAAGGAAAAAAACGGCAGCCGTTACAGCTTAATGGAGCGCGTATTTTTTTGTTAATTATCAAATGAAACTACAATGTATCTAAACTGACACTGTCTTACGTATTATTTTTATATAATCAAATGAAACTGTAATTGAATTGAACTGAAACTGTAGTTGTGTTAAAATGAAACTGCAGTATGTACAAAATGAAACTGAATAACAATTTTACATATTTGAGTGTGTATTGTCCAGCGAAACAGTAGTTATATCAAAACGATATTTTAGTTGTGTTGAAATGAAACTGAATAACAGAGTTATTTTTTGCGGAACGATGCAAAACGAGTGTCGTTTCTTTTCATTAAACAAAACGACATCGTTTTGCTGATGTCTGAACTACAATACATTGTGAACCACGGTCCACAGTAAAATTTACCTGTTGACTAGATATGCGACATGACGTATTTAAGTACTAGTTTTTTACGTACATTGCGCGATTGGGATAATGCCCATTGCTTTTCTTAAATAAGTATTTTAAAGGAGTTAATTCCAGCAATGGTCCTCCAACTATTACGATTTTTTAAAATTGGTCCTCGTCTTTTAACTTGGACAAAATAGAGCCCTGACTATTAGATTTGTTCCAACAATGATCCTTCCGTTAAACATCAGTTTGGTTGGCCTTAAGTAGAGGGTATTCAAGTCATTTCCTTTATTGTTTTCTTCTTCATCGTGAGTATGAACTCATGCAGCAGAATATTGCTTTAGACTTAGCCCGACAAGAAGCAGAGATGGCTATCCATGCTCGCAATGATTTCCTAGCTGTGATGAATCATGAAATGAGAACTCTGATGCACTCAGTCATAGCTTTGTGTTCACTGCTTTTAGAAACTGACTTAAATCCGGAACAGAGGGTTATGATGGAAACTATTCTTAAGATTAGCAATCTTCTAGCAACACTAATTAAGGATGTCCTAGATCTGATCTCTCAAGACTCGAAGATGGCAGTCTCGAATTAGAGAATGTAATATTCAATCTTCACATACTGCATGTATTACATCTGAGCTACGCGATCGTCTAACATGAATGTTGTTTTTTTTACCTTATTGCGGGTCGTTAACATGATTAAACCTATTGCAGCAGTGAAGAAATTATCTACAACTTTATCTTTAGCTCTTGATGTTCCCATCCATGCTTGAATGAATGTTGCTGGGAATGCTGTTAAGTGCACAAAGGAATTGAAGGTCAAATTTCTATCGAGGCTTCTGTTGCAAAACCGGACTACATTAGGGGCAGTCGGCAAGGAGAGTTTTATCTACCATCTACTGAGGGCCATTTTTATCTTCCTTTTCTTTTATTATCACCTGCAAAAATGTGATTGGCCTCAACATGGCTATTAGACTGTCATGCATCAGCAAACAATGTTTATGGAAATTGTCTGTATCTAAATGTCAAGCAGAATCCTAGATTTTGCGTTTTTTGGTCAAAGGTTTCTTCACGGTCCTCCTATATCCCATGCATTCTCTTCCCAACATCATCTCGTGTTTCCCCCCCAGTCTCAAATTAAAATCCCTATTTTAGTGAAGTATATAGAATATAACCTCCTTAAATTAGCTTTACCTCCCTATTCTCTTCATGCAGGTCAAAGATTCAGGGTGTGGTATTAGTCCCCAAGATATTCCACTCATTTTCACCAATAATTGTACCACAAAATAGTCACTTAAAATGCCTTTTTAATGCTATTTTTTCAACAACACATACAAAATCGATGTCTTGTTATCTTAAAAACACGTGCAAAAAGCAACCTTCAATGCTAGGTCATGATCAATAACAAACAATGTTGGCTCATCACTCATTGCTTTCTTAAAATTTTCAAACAACCAAACATATGGCTCACTATCCTCTCTCTCATCAACAAACCAGCACCAAAAGTAGCACACTTCTGCTGGTTATCCACCCTAGAGATTGGTGTGAATATCATGTTATGTCTGCAAAATTAAGTTCTAACTTTATACAGATCTTGAATTATAATGCAATATTGTTGCACCTATACGGATATGAACTTGTTCTATTCCTACAAAAGATCTACATTAACAAAACAGTATATGAGAATTATATAGGAACACATAAAAACTAACATGTTTGTCTGATATCTAGCACCAAAGGACACAACATACATCACCAAAATTGACAAAATTCTTCCTAAAATAGGGTCAAACAAAAAAAAATAGACTATTGATTTGGTCGCACTCCTCAACATCATAAAAAAAAATAAAAAATAATTAAAAAAGTTGGACATCTTGTTTTTTAAAAAATGTATCCACGATCATAATAGCATCATGATCCGAAATGTATGCCTTTAAATTCCTTTTGAAATTTTGAAAGTCTACCATTGTTGTACCAATATTTGAATAACCACCAACCATCTCCCTAACACTAGTAGAGAATTGACCAAAAAAATGAAACAATGCACTTCTTTAATTACAAGTAAAGACTTCTAAAGTAAGGAAAAAAATTGCGGTGGCATATTTGTAAATATATTACAAACTTCACGGGTCTTTACTTATATAGTCAAGACTCTTATTACCAATTCAATGACGACACGCGTCTTTACAAGCAAGGTAAAGACGCGTATTCCTACGCGTATTTTTTTTTTTTTTTTGTAAAAAGTAAATAAAAAACTAAAACCATAAAAATAAAATTCTCTCCCCCAAAACCTAGGTTTCCTCCTTTTCTATCTCTCTCCGCCGCACCCTTCTCTCCAAAATCCAAATCCCTAACCTCCGCCGCCTCCGTGTCTCGCCTGCTCCAAGCAACCAACGGACCAAGCCGCCTTCGTGGTGCGACGACGCAGCAGACTCGAATGCCGAATTCCGCCTCTCCCCCGCCCTCTCCTGCGACAGATCCAGTAGACTCGAACGCAGAAAACATTGTGCTTGTGTCTCGGTCTAGATCTACAATTTGGGTCTTGGTCGTCCTCCTTCCACAACGGCACTGAAATTGCAAGATCTACTTCTCTGACCAGGTTCTTGATCTTTATTTCTTATTTTTCTCACCATAGTCTTTTATACTACTGGTTTTCTTGGTGCTGCCTGCCTCTTTTGCAGTTTCGAGAGTGGAACTACCATAGGAGAGTATGCTAGTGAAGATGAAGATGCTGGTGGGAATGGATGTGGAAGACGATGAAGGAGCGGCTGGTCAGCAGCAGGATTCGTCTTTGGCTTTCATCGATGACTTCAATCACAATTGCACTCTCTCCCCGAAACAGGTTACAAGCTCTTAATGTCATTCCATCACTATTTCTTCTGAACTTACTAGCATTTCCGGTTTATGTAATTATGGTGTAGAAATGTGGAATCAGTCCTAACTAATTAATTGAATCAACCCATGTTTAATCGCAGTGAGTTTCTCATTTCATACGAGCATCTTCAAATCCATATCTTTAGAGCATGTTATATATCTAAATAAACGTAATTGAGATCTTACACACCTTGGATTTGTTTGTAGAACTGCTAGCACTTAAAGCCCATGGTAAAGGACACAAAATACTATGAAATATTGGGGGTTGGGGTGGGTGCCACGCCCGCAGGCGGTTCATCATCCAAGTGAGGCTAATTCTTCATTATATTCTAAGACATTAATATTTGCTACTTCAGTTTTTAATTTCAGTGTGGTGGTGTTTAATATTTTGTTTGTAATTTGTAATGTCTAAATGGTATGGATACTGGTAGTTCTATGTCATTTAATCTTCTTCTTCTTTCTTGAAAAAAAAAAAGATGAATTTATATTGTATTAGTAAATGAATTACTCTCTAGATCAATTAGAATTATACATTAGAACTGTGGTATATTGAAATTAAGCATGCAAATTACTGTTTAAGCATCATCATTATTATAATTAGTAGTATTGGTATTATCATTATTTCTGCTATTTTTAATTTTATTTTTACTTACAGAAATTATGTTGAATCCTGATGTTTCTAATTGGACTTGAAAGATTTATCAAATATATTCTGTTTTATGTAGTCTACTTAATTTTGTTTATGCTAACACAATTATGAGTTCTAATGTTTCATATAAAAGGTTAAAGAGTGCAAGTATTATACTTTATCTACTAATGTGGCTAGACTAGAGGATATCAGTAGATAGCTTAAAACTATGTTGAACTTGCTGATTTGGTTGTCCTGCAAAGAAGAAGTGGGATGCTGGAAAGGGAAGTAGTAGGAATGGACATTGACTCATTCAAATTCTTCTCTAACACTTTGGGCCCTGGTTCTTTTCCACCCTCTTAGACAAGACAATTTCTAGTGTGGAAGCTGATTTGTGCCCATCTTTGTTTGATCATTTCTCCCTCCGTTGGAATGTCACAACTTTTTTGTCTCTTTTGTTTTTCTTTTCAGCAACAGTACCCTTGATATATCATTAGTAGTTGCATAGATAACAATTTTGTTATATGATGTTTTAGAATGTTGGCATGCCCAAACGGAGTAGTACAATGATAAGGAACCAGGAGGGGTTCATAGCAATGGTCCTGTTCTTGATGAAGTTCTACTGTCTGACCCAGAGGTAAACATTACGGACCATTTCATCAAGTAGTCCATAGTTTACCTTTCTTGGAATTAATCTGCATATAACATCCTTATTCCTTACCTTCAGCCATTTTTAAATGAATTGAAATTTCTAAGTAGAATACTTTGGGGTTCGGCTTAGAAGTCACACCCAGAATTGTGTCACCACTTTGTTAGGGTAATTTTGCTGTGCTTAAACACCATTTATGAAAAACAAAAAAGAAAACACACACACACATACCATATCTTGAATGAATTGAAATTTCTTCCTAATGACAAAATTAACCAACCCATATTCTAACACTCTCCATCCTTCAACAATCAAAATTTTCAAAACCTTTACAAGCCAACCACATATTTCAATCCAAAAACAGCATGGGACTCTATTTATGGAGAATTTTCTTTTTTAATCCAATTACTAGAGTATACTATTTTGTAATATTTGGTCAGTATGCACAATAATTCATTTTTTTTTTGTTGCAATATATATAATTCTTTGCAGTTATCTGATGCAATTGAGAATGAAAAGGTGGTGAACAAAACAATTCAAATTTATAATATTGACCGTGCCACTTGTGGACCGCATGGCTGGTGTTATTGCGAAGAAATACGGTGACACTGGTTTTGCTGGGTAGCTTAACATAACGTAATTCCAATCTTATATATAATTGTTGTGATTCTTGCATACATTGAGAAACATTTTGTTTTTCTATATCCTTGTAAAACTTAGAAGATTTGTTGCTACTCATGCAGATTCATAGGGAGTGGTGGGCAGTCATTTGGTTGTTTTTTGACACCTGGAAAGAACATCTGTCTTGTAGGAGAAGCTAATGACTATGTGGGGAAGGTTGGTTCATTAATTTTCTAATACCATGTGTAGAGCACATTTATCTCTCAAACATAAGCTTAAAAGGATAAAATTTTTGTTAAACACCAAGTGAGTCTGATAGTTTCATTGTGATTAAGTGTTTATTATTCACCTATTTATTATATTTTGTGTTTAATGATTTTTGATTGGATAATAGAATTTTCTTTTGAAACTAATGAATACTATTTTTAGAAAATATAACAATAGGCGTCTTAAAGACGCCTATTGTTATTTTTTTATTTTTGTTAAACACTATACGCGTCTTTACTATACAAGTAAAGACGCGTATAGTCCCGTTTTACGCGGCTTCCAACCAAAGACACGTAAAGTTGCCAACTTTCAGTGTCTGCGCCATACGCGTCTTTACTAGTAAAGACGCGTATTGTCTAATAGTAAAGACGCGAATGGCTCATTTTGTACTAGTGTAAACAGTCGATAAAACCCCATTGTCCCAACGTTTGCTTTTGCACAATTAGCAATAAACTTCTAATGACCAACAATAATTTTTATATTTCACTTCAAAAATTGCCTTGACAATATTAATGACATGCAATAATTGTGATGCTCCTCAATCATGTTAATAGCATAAGCATCATCCCCCGCATATCTAAAAACAACACGAGCTCTACACCCAACGCTATTTGAAACTCTCCTCCTCTTTTAAACAGAAGAGTCAAGGCCGCCATCCACATCTACCGCTGAAACTTTTTCCCTAGAATCAGCATTCTTAAATGTTAAGGAAAGAAATCACAGAAATCACATGTTAAGGAAAGAAATCACAAGTGTTGAATATTAGGAAAGTTGTCTTACTTTCCTATTTTTATTAGTAGTTTCCTAGACTAATTTACTATCTAGTTTAGTATATATAGAGGTCCATAGAAGTATAGAATATACATCAAGAGAGACAATCTATTGTACTCTTTCAATATAATATATTCTCTTGTTCTTTAGTTCTCACATATCTTGCTTCCGCCTAACTGGCGGGTGGTGGATATTCTCCACCCGCCAGGTCTCTCAAATTCTGAATTTTAACATGGCATCAGAGCTTTTGGTTTATTATATCTTGTGGATTGTGTTGTTTGGTTAATTATTGTGGGTCCATAGGATTAGTCTCATATTTTGGTATGAGTTGAGTCGTTGTAGCTTGTTCAATGTCAATCAGTCCAGGGTGCTGCAGTGATGGGCAGCACGGATGCTAGGAGGGATGCGGACCTAGCATATGCCACGGCAGTTATGGGAGGCTGATGGTTGAAGAAGAATTGGTTCGGGATGAACCAATTGTCAGGGTGCTGCAGGTGATGGGCAGCACGGATGCTAGGAGGGATGCGAACCTGGCATAAGCCACGGCAGTTAATGGAGGTCGATGGTTGAAGAAGAATTGGTTCGGGATGAACCAATTGTGTGCACCAGGAAAACAGGAAAACACTGTGTTGGGCAGCGCTAATGATGGTTTGTGGTGCGAGAGGCAGGAGCACTGTGGTGTTAGGCAGTGTTCATAACGGTGTGGGGTGTGAGTGGCAGGTGCGCTGTGGTGTTTGACCTGTTTTTGGCTTCGTGGAAGCTTAGTTAGTGCAACAGATTGAACGGTGGACTAATTTGGCACAACGTGGTTTGAAGATTGATCAAGTGGTTCGAGACATGGGTGTTGATCTCGAAGGTTATGACTCTAGATGTGAAGTCCTATGGCTCATGTGATATATTTGTAATGTTATGGAATATAAATATAATATTTGGAATCTCTATAGATTAGGCAGTCTTAGGGATTTAGGTAGGTAAGGCATATGGAAACTTGTTTCCTATTTGTAGTCTTCTAGCACCTATTTATAGGGCTCTATATTCTCTTTTCTAGAGGAGAGATATATAATACTTCTATTCACTCTCATACAATATATATTTTCCCATCTCTTGATTCTTCATCTCTGCTTCCGCCTAACTGGCGGGTGGTTGTAATTCTCCACCCGCCAGGCATTTGAATCTTAACATGGTATCAAAACCTACTTTCCTAGACTATTTTTTCTTCAAATATTAAAACCCTAATATTTTATATGGCTCTACTTCCATTTGCTATTCTATCTGGCTCTACTCTTCATTTGCTATTTTACCTGGCTCTACTGCCATTTGCTATTTTACCTGGCTCTACTGCCATTTGCTATTTTATCTGGCTCTACTGCCATTTGCTATTTTATTTGGCTCTACTGCCATTTGCTATTTCTGGCTCTACTGCCATTTGCTATTTTACCTGGCTCTACTGCCATTTGCTATTTTATCTGGCTCTACTGTCATTTGCTATTTTATCTGGCTCTACTGTCATTTGCTATTTTATTTGGCTCTACTGCGTCCTTTGCTATTCTTAACCGACGCCCTCCCCTTGCATTGTTCCTGCCGTGTGCCGCTGCCGCCATGACAGATACGGAGGTCGTCGACGCTGACAAGAGGGACGCTAGCAACAACGACGACGATGTCACGATGGTACGTCGTCGTCGTATCTCTTTTGGTTATGTTCAGCTCCGTTCTTGGTGCCTTCGTCTTCATTCCCAAGGAAGGGTCAGACATAGCGCAATCTCTTTTGAAGTCATCCATCCTAGGGTGCTTATGTTGCTGTGATGGTGTTCGTGTTGTATCTTTACTCTTGGTGCCTTCAATCAAAAGTCTCTTATTCCCAAGTTGGGCATTTCTCTGTTACATGCTCCAACTTGAGGGGGGTCTTAAGGAAAGAAATCACAGAAATCACATGTTAAGGAAAGAAATCACAAGTGTTGAATATTAGGAAAGTTGTCTTACTTTCCTATTCTTATTAGTAGTTTCGTAGACTAATTTATTATCTAGTTTAGTATATATAGAGGTCCATAGAAGTATAGAATATACATCAAGAGAGACAATCTATTGTACTCTTTCAATATAATATATTCTCTTGTTCTTTGGTTCTCACATATCTTGCTTCCGCCTAACTGGCGGGTGGTGGATATTCTCCACCCGCCAGGTCTCTCAAATTCTGAATCTTAACATTAAACCCCTCTCGACTATAAACAATATATCTAACAACTATCATCCCATTACTATATCTTTTCATTGTACTGTGTTGCACATCTGTTAGATATATTAAATATAATATATCTATATTATATATATAAATAAATATTATATATATATATATATATATATATATATATATATATATATATATATATATATATATATATATATATATATAATTTAGAGAAGAGAGAGAGGAATGAATAAATGTTTATTCACTTGATTGATGAATAATGAATGAAGAATAACAATCTATTTATACTAAATAATAATTAACTACTTAAGCTAAACATTAGGACTAATGCAATCATGCCTTCATCCATACTCCACGTAGTGCGCATGTATTGCAACATTTCCACCTTTAACACACACGTACCCACTAATGCTTATTGCCTATATGCCTTCATTGAATTGGTTTAACATTATAATAATATTATTATTATAACATTGCCTCCTTTAAACCAAGTTGGATATATTGGTCATCCCAATTTCATTCTTCAATTTAAGAAATGTCCCCGTCTTCAAGTTGGATATACTGATTTGTATTTCGTTCTGTAAACCCACTTGACTCCAATTGACTTCTTTTCAGGAGGTAATTCTGTTAATCCACAGGTACCATTCTTTTCAATGGCACCAACTTCCTCATTCATCGCCTTAAGCCAATGAGTTTCTGTAGCAGCCTCCTCAAACGATAAAGGGTCACAATCTGCAAAAAGAGCAAATTGAACAATATCTTCATCCGACAGATCATTATCTTGACCCAAAACATAATCCTGCAAGCGAGCTGGTAAGTGGCGCTCGCGCTGAGATCGTCGAACTGATGGTTCTGGCTGTGAAGGAGACTGGACATTATCTGGAATTGGTTGCTCATAAACAATATTTTCAACAACAGGAATAACAACTGAACTTTCATCTTTAGCTAACCAATCCCAGGCACCATATTCATCAAAAGTGACATCACGACTTATAACAACCTTCTTAGTTTCAGGATTGTATAGTTTATAAGCATTTGAAGCGTCACTATAACCAATGAATATGCACTTCTCACCTTTATCATCCAACTTCTTTCTCAATGGATCCGGCACGTGTGCATATGCCAAACATCCAAAAACCTTGAGATATTTGATAGAGGGTTTTCTCCCACTCCAAGCTTCTTCGGGCGTCTTATCACGGACACTCTTAGTTGGACACCTATTCAACACATAGACAGCACAAGCAACAGCTTCTGCCCAAAAAGGTTTAGGCAGATCCTTGGATTTCAACATGCACCTCACCATATCCATGATTGACCTATTCTTCCTCTCAGCCACTCCGTTTTGTTGTGGAGTGTATCTAGCTGTCATTTGGTGCTGAATACCCTTTTCTTTCAGAAAATTATCACAAGCAATATATTCTGTACCTCTATCAGTTCTCAAGATTTTAACTTCATAACCACTTTGTTTTTCAACAAAAGCCTTAAATTGTTTGAAAACATCACATGCTTCAGACTTTTGCTTCAGAAAGTAAACCCATGTTTTCCTACTGAAATCATCAATGAAAGTAATAAAGTACTTACAACCTCCATGTGAGGGAACCTCCAACGAACACAAGTCTGAGTGAACAATCTCCAACTATTTTGTGGCTCTCCTTGACTTGCACACGGGAAAGGGATCTCTATGCTTCTTCCCAATCACACAAATCTCACATATACGATCAGGGACATTCACAACAGGTAAATCAGAAACAAGTTCCTTTCTCGCAAGATAGTTTAACCCAGAGAAATGGAAATGCCCAAACCGCATATGCCATAACCAATTATCATCACAAACTTCAGAATTAAAGCAATCAAGGAGAGTATGCTTAATTTTCAAAGGAAATAGTCGATTTTGGGACATATTTACCTTTGCAATCAAAACTCCTTTAGCATCTTCAATGGTACAACACCCCTGAGCAATATGTATCTTATATCCTTTTTCTGACAACTAACCCAAACTCAACAAATTTTGGTGTAGTTCAGGAACATAGAACACATCGGATATAAAATTGTGAGTACCATCCTTCAACTGAATAGAGATTTTACCTTTTCCCAAAATTGGCACCTTGCCAAATGTCACTTCAGACTGGACTGATTCATCTAGTTCAGAAAACAATTCTTTCTTCCCACACATATGGTTACTACACCCAGTATCCAAGAACCATATGTTTTTATCTGCAGAAAAATTATCGCTGGCTAAAAGTAAAGTTTTAGAACTCTCACCAGACTTTTCAGCAATGTTTGCTTGATTTCCACGATTGTCCTCATTATACCAATAATCTGCAATCTTGTGCCCATACTTGCCACAATTGTAGCAATGAAATGGAAATTTACCTTGTTTGGTATTACCTCCACCTCTTCCTTGGTTGGGGTTACCACATCCTCCTCCTTGATTGAAGTTACCACGACCTCTTCCACTAGATCCTCATCTTCCTCTTCCACGACCTCTACCAGATCCTCTACCTCTTTGATTAGTGCCAGTCACATTAAGGGTGACTTGACTCTTCAAAGCTTCTTCAGCTAGTGGTTCTGATTTTGACGCAATTCTGTCAATATGACTTTCTACCATACCTTTCAGCTCTACAATTGATAAGAGCTCGGTTTTGTGTGACTCTGTTATTGAAGCCACCACATGGTCATACTTCATCGGCATAGTTCGTAGAACTTTTTCAACCACTGCACCATCTTCAATTGTATCTCTGTATAACCTCATCTTATTCACCATATCAATAAGACTAGTGAAATACGCGCTACTGTTTCTGTAGAGGTCATCTCACAATTATCGTACAACCTTCTCAACGACTGCAACTTAGACTTCTGCGCCCGATCAACTCCTTTGTGTGACACCTTTAAGATGTCTCAAGCTTGTTTTGCTGTTTGAGCACGAGCTAATTGCCCAAAAATGGAATAATGAACACCTTGGTGAATCTGACCCAAGGCCAATTTATCTCGTCGTATAGCGCCTGCATCAGCTCCTTCGGGTAGACCGGGATCAACAAAGCTCCAAAGATTTTGAGCTTGCAAATGTGTGGACATCATAATTTGCCAATAATTGTAATCGAGTTTCCCGTCCAATTTGGGACCCGACCATACAATATTGAAATTTGTTGCCATATTTCACTACGGAAAATATTTCGGGGTTGAAAGGTTGACTGGCTCTAATACCAAATGTTAGATATATTAAATATAATATATCTATATTATATATATAAATAAATATATTATATATATATATATATATATATATATATATATATATATATATATATATATATATATATAAAATTTAGAGAAGAGAGAGAGGAATGAATAAATGTTTATTCACTTGATTGATGAATAATGAATGAAGAATAACAATCTATTTATACTAAATAATAATTAACTACTTAAGCTAAACATTAGGACTAATGCAATCATGCCTTCATCCATACTCCACGTAGTGCGCATGTATTGCAACATTTCCACCTTTAACACACACGTACCCACTAATGCTTATTGCCTATATGCCTTCATTGAATTGGTTTAACATTATAATAATAATATTATTATTATAACAACATCAAACCCAACTTTTGAAGCATACTTCGAATAAAATTCAACATTAGAATCGAAACTATTAAAACTCTTACCAACTAAAGATTTCATTGAATCTTCACAAACATGGACATAATATTTTTTCAAACCAGTAGAAATATCCAACTGATAACAACCTCCTTGAACATCACATCCATCACCTGTGTATGCAAGTATTTTTCATTAATGCTTCATTATGTCCTAAATGTGCAAGTGTATATATA